GTCTCTGGAAGTTTCGACGAATAAAAGAACCGGGGTAAAACTGATTTCATAACAGTTTTAACAACAAAGTTGGCCATCAGATTTCTTGCAGTGATGTAATAAATGCTTTTCCTTCTAGAAAAGCTGGAAAACAAAAATGTTAAGAGGATTGAATGTTGAGGAAAACCAAAAAAGTCAAAAGTCTGGATTCCAATCATTCATTTTCAAATGTAGTTCTTCCTATTTTCACCAAAGTGTTTACACATGTTTATATACTTTTCAGAACAAATTATTCAATTTTGTATTTGATTTCTAAAGCATGTTCTCTTGTCGGGTAGCATAAGATAAACATCAAAGAGGGTGATAAGTGAACAGCATCAGCATACTAGTCAAGTTCCTTTTAAGTATACTTTATTTCTGGCATCTCCATTCTACCATAAAACAACCAACCTGGTAGGCAAAATCCCACTTGCTTTATACAGGACTTTACACACACCTGAACCTCATTAGTCTCTACCGCTGAAAAAAATAGGTCAGACCAAACAATACGATTCTAAACGAAGAACAGAAATAAGATTATACATGAAACTCATTTACACGCCTAAATGGTTTGAAAAGTAAAACACTGCGTATAAATAACAATCTATATGTGTTTGCCTGAATCTTCCACCACAAACAGAAAGAGGACATGTGAGCTGCTGTCTGAGTATCAATGCAAATACACACCAGAAATTGTTTAGTAAAGACAAATTTAATAAATGAAAGCTGTTGAGAGGGCCTTTAATGTTTTTCTTTGGATCATCCTTTGATCCATCTATCCATTTTCTTCTGCTTATCTAGTTCATGGCTGGAGCCATTAGGGACAACATCACCAAGAATTAGAGGAATAGTCCGAATGAGCCACAGCGTTTGACTGGCATTAAGACCGAAGCCAAAACAAGTTTTTGTTTGTTGAACGATTCTTTTTATCCACAAAGCTAAAACTGATACACAAACACGCTGGAGTATGTTTTCAGTTGAAACGAAGCACCTTCTGAGTAAATACTTTGTCAGTAAAACACATTCTACAGTCGTAGCTTGCAGAGAACGATTCAACATAACTAAGAACTGAGTTCAAACCTCAGTTATCACCAGTTACTTGTGCATTGTTCAGTCAATGATACTTATTGAAACCACTGTTTTCTAATACCTATGCATAAAGGTAAAGAACAATAACAGAGTTATCTTTATTTTAGATGTCAAAAAGTAATTGCGGCTCCCAGTGTTTTCTTTTCCGTGGAAACGGGGTCCAAACGGCTCTTTGGGTGTTAAAGGTTGCTGACTCCTACCCTAGGAGAATTTGATGTTTCAGTCATCATCATAAACTTAAATTTGCATTGTGCCATTTGAGAATAATGGTTGATGTCTGTAACATCTGTCATCAGAAAAATCCTCACACATAGCTGGTTTATTCATGTGTCATGAAATTTCTGCATTTTTGAAAATCAAAGCTAATGTTTTAAAAAGATGTACATAAATGAAAGTGTTGTTTACTGGAGATTGTTTATATAAAGCAGATGATTCGCTTCTCTTTGAAATATATCGCACCCACAAATTAATTTAAACTGGGATCCATGTTCAGTAATATCTGACTGATGTGGATTTTGAATATTACATGTAACATGTCCAGAAGAACTATGATAAAAATTTAAATGCATTCTAAAACCTGCACACGCATGGTCACGTAAACGTAAACTGCAGTGAACATTCATCTTAGGATCAAACGAGAACACATTTTTTTGCCTGCAGGGTGTAATTAATGAAAAAAAACCTAAAATGCTGGATTAACGCACTAGGTGTACTGTCCAAGGATCTACAAATGTAACATTAGCATGGCCAATTATGCAAATTAGGCGATGACATCATTTAGCGACTTCTAGGACAACCAATAGTGATTTTCCTTGTTGAGGAGTTGGCAACACTGTTTGGCAGTCATTGAACGCATCACAGTGCCGTGAGCAAAGGCCTAGTCCAACTGCAGAATTTCTTCTTTTCCTCCCGTCGATCTGGTGAGATGCATGCTGTTCTGGTGCCCTCTGCGATCTGGAAACCTGGGTACATTTAACACCAGTCACTGTAGATAGGTTTACAAAACGTTTGTACTTAAAACTGATGCTTTAATGTGTTGTTAGAGAGAGAAATCATGAAGCGGTACGGGCTGAGCCGAGTCCGACAAGCATCCGCCATTACACCAACTCCTCTGGTGAGTTAGCTTGGAGCTCATGTTTACATTGAATATTATGTCCATTTTTATGCTGCAGCCAGGTGTCAAGTTAACTGCTGGGATGTTTTTTTTTTTTTTTTGTTGAGGAAGAAAGCTAAATGTTATAGAATGTGTGAATGAGCTTAGCTGAATGTTAGCAAGCTAGCGGCTAAGCAAGCCTGGCTACCGTCCTAATATGGCGGCCGATACAAGGTCAATTACCGAGTTGATGTGTTTATGCCTAAGAATTTTTATTTTTATTTTTACATGAACAAGCCTGTATTTTTTTTATGATGTTGAGACTGCTAGATGAGCCGTTAGTGATACTGGAAGTCATGAGTATGCTTTGGTTAATTCTCCAGCATCCGGGTGTGTGTAGGCTGGTTTTTCCTTTGGTATCCTGTTCCTACTGGATGATGTTCCTCATCTGATGACTCCACTGAAAC